GTTTTACTAATTTTTACAAACAATGGAAAAAGTAAAATAATTTTCTTAAACAAATTAAACTATAGTCAACTTTTCAATCGATTTAAAATTTTTTTTTATACCGATAAATGTATGTACATACATATCAATCGGATGAAATAATATACCAAATTCAAAAAKATAGAATGGCCTCGCTTAAAGAACGTTTTGAATGAGACAAGATTTTGGTTAATTTTGGTAATTTTCGAATTTTTCTRKGACATAGTTAAGCAACGTTAACTCYCAAATTTGACCAAAATCGCACAGGTAGTTTGGGAGTTATGAAAGAACTTCTATAAAGGGTCGTATCACATCTGTAGTAGAAAAGTTGGACCTGAATGCAGTTTTCTGTGTCGCTCTGATCAATTTGAACGAAGAATTATAAATTTACATCGATGATCTATGTGGGCAGATTATTACAAAATTGTGCGAGATTTTTGAAGAAAGTATTCAATAGTTATTTGATTAGCTGGTTCAAATAACACTTTTACTATATTCGGATGTAGAGATTCTTTAAAAAATGTTTCACATTTTCTTCTTAATTTGCTATGGAAAGTTCTTGTTTCAAGCTTCAGCTTGAAATTGTTGCAGCAGAATTCATTCCTTAACAAAATTAAAACATTTAGCCGATGAAGGATTAAAGCGTCTTCAATACAATAGCAAACACGTAACTATTACGAAATTATATGCTTATGCAGCTCGACCGCTAAGCACCCATTCAGGCATAAGATATAAAGAAATCATAATTTTTAACCGTTTTTGCTCATGCAAACATTTATGATTTGCCTTGCAATATTGGCTTATGYTCATTTATCTATAGCTATTCATTTATGCCCACTCTTCAATGCTTACAATGCGCAGAAAATGTTTACGCTACACCTAGAGAATGCCTGTGCATTGCTGTAGTTGAACATTTTACCACGTCAAATCGCGAAGCCTGACCAAGTGACCCAAACTGTCAGCCACAGATACTGCCAAGCGCGTCCAAAAATGCGCGAACGAGGAACTAATGAAACGTCAAATGTGTCAACGACAACAGCAAAAGTGTCACACAAACCATATCAAACAACCGCAGMTATACAAACAACATCAACAACAGCAACAACGAGCAAAAAACATACAACAGACAAGTGCTTGATTTATTACGCTTTCAAAAAATCACTCACCAATCAAGAGGAGCGGCGGGGGGAYGCGCCAGCAGCCGGAGAAAACGCGATTGCATCAGTTGCACACATAATAAGTAATAACTTATATACCGCAGCCATGTGCATATGTATGTATGTACACGCGCAGCGCATCGACATTTCGCAAAGCAGGCCGATGGCGGAGAGCTGCGGAGCGGCTGGCGTGGCCTGGCGCTGTCTCTTATACACATCTAGATGTGTATAAGAGACAGAACTTATATACCGCAGCCATGTGCATATGTATGTATGTACACGCGCAGCGCATCGACATTTCGCAAAGCAGGCCGATGGCGGAGAGCTGCGGAGCGGCTGGCGTGGCCTGGCGTGTCGCCATCACTGCACATGACACGATCGTAATCGTAACTAATTTAATTGCCGATTGATGCAAACCACTTGTGGCGCGTTATGTTGCCGCAGCGTAGAAAGACTGTTGGCACGACGACGTCAGCGGCTGTTGCAAACGTGGCAGTGTTGCACTTGCCACAACCTCGTTGTCATCATCCACGTTGACGCTGACGTTGTCGTTGTCGTTGTCGTTGTTGTCATTGCAATATGAACGGAACACGCGTCTCGTCGCCCAATCACACGAACCAGCGGCAATAACTACTTCCAGATATATGAGTATGCTTATAGGCAGCCTGAAGGTAGAAAAATACACAAAGGCCGCTAAATTAGGAGAAAAGAAAGCAATCAGAACCTTGCCGCGCACCCAAAAGCAAGTCACAACCGCCGCCAACTATGCGTACGCACACAGCACAGCTGTATGCGATTATTATGCGCACGAAGTGCATATCAGCATTTCTCTAAGCGGCCCCTCCGGCGTTTTATAGTAATTTTTCAAATCCGTTCAAATCCCATTTACTTAGGATTCGCTACGTGGATCACTTTCGAAGCGCGCATACCACTTCCCTGGATATCGAAGCGACTTCAGTGACTTCAGCGGCTTTGGACGTCTCACGAAGCACAGTCAAATGGATACMYGCCTGTCGCATAGACCGCCAGACATTCCTTCGCAGCAGTAATCTGCATTCAAATGCACTGGCTGACTGTCAGCGCCACCGCGCTGCACACCGCCAGYMCACTCGGCGTGGCTTAGCCGCCAGTTTGACTGGACTTAAATGAGAGTTTCCTGGCATCCAGCTGCGCGACGTTGTTGAAGTTTAATWGCTTTGGCTGTGCATAATCTTCGTGTGCAATTCGTCGTCAACAAAGTACCTACATTGCCAGCCACACATACACACGTGCATATGCGCGCGTATGTATGCAGATGCCGTCAACGCAGCACGCATTATGATCAGCATTCAAACCGAAACAACAAYAACAACGGCGTTGGCGCTCATCATTGCTCGCATGGGAGACGTGCTGCCGCATATCCGCAGCGTTGCTGTCGTAGCGGTTGTGGCATTGTGATTGTGACGGCGACGTCTGCGTTGGCTGTCGCACGGTTGTAAAATGTCTATATGACAACTTAGACAACAAGTCTCCTTGCCACCCGCTAACCTCGCCGCCGTCTATGGGCAACTATGTATTTGGCAATGATCTTCATCATCATTATTCCATTTTTTGTGATTTTTCCGTTTATCATCGCCTTCCAATTCTAGTTTGCTTTGAACCTTCAAGTTTTCGCTCGATTGCCGAAGAATGTTTTACATATTTTATCGCGATTTCGACGAGCCAAAAGTGTGGTTAGACAAATATGACTACAAACGCTCATTTTTATTGCTCTGTGTTGTTCTGTCTTGTACTAGTTTTATGTACTCGGTCGGTTTTTGCGCTACCAGCAGGTGTAGCAACATTAAAATTGGCTGTGTTTATGCTTTTTGATGTTTCTAAATTGTTTGTGAGCGTAGATTTTTATAGATATGGTTCTGCTAATACTCATATATATGGTGCATAATTGTTAAATGATAAAAATTAAGTAAGCAGTGAATTACGAGCGATTTTKTAACAGCGCACTAAAATGTAGGCTATAATTTAAGCTTTTAATAAAGCACTTACATTCAAGAAAATGTCTAAAATGGTGATTTTCTTGTTTTTCTATGACCAACTTGATCATATTTATCTCTGTGGTGTAATGATTGTTTGGAGGAAGAGTTCTCCTTCGATTTTACTTGGCTGTAAACCAAAATATTACAACATTCTTGAACAAAAATTAATAAACAAGRAATTTTGTATATCTAAGGCGTCGGTTTGATGAAAAAATAATACCCTTAAATTCTTAAGAARATTTCAACTCTTTTGCGGATTTCTATTCATTAAAAAAAACACAAAGTCATCATAAATAAGTAAAGAAGGGYTCAGTTCCAGTTTAACCGATCAAATTATACTCTCGTAACTTCCAAGGATAAAAGCCAGGTAAAATTCTTTTCTATCTGACTGAATGTCCGACATTTTTTAGTAAAACGTTAGCGATTGCAACTGAGGTCCACATATTTGGTGGGAGCTTGGATAACTTTTGATCATAAGGTGGCATACCTCAAAAGGAATATTTGTGTTAAGTTTTATTCGGATACATTCGTTCTTCACTTRTATACCTGAAAGTGATGGTATAAGATATGAGTAGTAGGTGTGGCTGTAGTCTGATTCTGCCCATTTTAGCACTGTAATGTAGGAATGTTAGGATATTACGCCCCGAATTTGGTTGAAGTCGTACGAKCAGGTCCTGAGATGTAGGTTTTCACTTTAATGTGAGCGGTGGCAAGCCCATCATTCAGTTTGACAAAACTACGCTCAACTTCGACCTCGTCTTTTCTTTTTTGGCAAGTGGGTAACTGCGGATGACCACCTTGGTAGTACATGCATATACATATATTTGCTAGTCGAAAAAGTATTTTCGTATTTCTAACAAAACTTCAAATTATTATTTTTATATTTATACTGATACATATATGTTTATTCATTTATTATTATAAATATAATACAAAGTTTGTTTAGAAATACGAAAATAATGACTACCCAATATACATAGGAGTATATAACCTGTCTCTTATACACATCTAGATGTGTATAAGAGACAGATACATAGGAGTATATAAGTTAGTAATACTGATTGATTTGATTTAAAAATGCATAATGAAATATAGAAAGCTTTCCCGTGTTTATAAAATTTTAATTTATATATAGATGTTTATAAAAATAGAAACTCTCATAAACAAAATTTAAGAAGTTTGAAAAAAATTAAAGTTTTATAAGAACGGGAAGGCTTTCTTCATTTCATTACGAATTTTCAATATCATAATATCGAAGAAGTACATATTAACAAAGCTTAAATATTTCTATGCACTTTCTTCAATAAATGCTACATATTTTAAGCTTTATTCTACACCTACAATTAAATATTTAAACCGACTCTGCGCGCTTGAGACCTAAGCCCTCCGCAATTTTCCTTACATTGCCAATGATTTTGCGCAGACACAAATACCTGTGTAAATGCCAATTAACGTCACTTACCAATTACAACTGGCTACTGTATCTGCGTCTGCGCGAACAATGAAAAGCGGAGAGAAACCGCTGCAAATAATTCCAACTTAACGCCAAAGTAGTCGGCGAAAACATGAAAATGTGGCTGAAACAAATAGCAAATTGACAAAATAATTTAACCTCGTTTAACCCAGTGCAAGCTGCCTAGATGCTCTTGTAAAACACACACACACATACATATATATATATATACATACAAGCTTTTGTGCGCTTTTACATTCACTCATTCGTGGCTCGTTTATGCGCCCGTTTAATTTAATTTCTGTTTAGTTTGTTTAGTTTCTCTAATTTGTGCCTTTTTTGTCATTTCACTTGCAGAAATCGTTTACGCTGATATTGCAGGCGTTGGATATGTACAACACATCGTACCCAGGTAATTATGCGCAAACTATTTAAATGCCACCAAGGCACCGTGGCACCGAGGCACCAAAGCAACAGCGGCACCGCGGTTCAGCCCCAGCGCTGGCGAGCGGCGTTTGTGACAATGCGATTAGCCAGCGAAAACAAGCGGCTAAATGGTTCAAAAACAATCAAAAAAAAAAAAACAAAAAAAGCACCACCGTCAACAGCAAAAATTTAAGAGCAGAAATAGTTGAGGCCAAAAGCGCTACTGCCGACGATGGTATTAAAGTTGGTGGCGGTGTTGCTGATTGTGGCGGAATGGCGGCAATAAAAGACGCAAGCTCTCGCCAGGGCTGGTGCTRACGCTTTTTGTTGCTATTATTGTCATTGTTGTTGCTATGGAATTGTCGCAGTGCGAGGCGTCATTTGGGAGTTTTAATTAGACAATTTTGCCCACTGCGCGCGYTCGCGCCGRTGACAATTCTCCAAATGACTGAACAACAACAGCAAACGGCCAGCAATAAAACCTTACAAAGTGTCTTGGGTTCGACATGAWATTTACAACAACAGTATTAGCAACAAAACGGAATCTATTAAGTGCAACTMTAGAAAATAGTTTGACTATTGAATAAGTAGAAAAAAAAAACAACAACAGTAATAAACCCATATATCCCGTAAAAAAAATGTTGCCTACCTGCCCGGGATGTGCTGAAAGCAGAAAAACAGCAGACTTAAGCAACGAACTTGCTGACAGCTGACTTCAGACCAACACATTCTCAACATTTCATTACATTTCGCTTCAATGTTTTTATTTTGCTTTCTTTTCCTTCTCTTTTTTCATGTACAATGCGCCGAATTGTTGTTGTTGACATCGTTGTTGCTGCCGCTGTGTTCTGCGTCTCATTTCAATACGACTGTTGGCGCGGCTGTTGTTTGGTTGGGTGGCTGGCACATTCGTTTTTTGTGTTGTTTGTGTGAAATGCACCTTTGGCTGTCTTCTAATGTGTTCTCGCCGCTGACATTGTTGTTGCTACGTATGTAACTTTACTTGAACTTGCGCCATTGTCGCCGCGGACCGTTCAATCGTTGATTCACACAACAACAACAACAACAACGAAAAATTGTGTGGAAATGCAAAAAAATGTTTGGAAAACAACAATAAACTTCAACTATTTGTTGCAACGTCAAAAACAACAACAAAACACCACCGAAAACGTTACAACCGAAAACCGAAACAACGACCAAATCAACAAACAACATTGTAATGGAACCGCAATCGTACAACCACAACAACCAAAACAAAACAAACTGTGTACAACATACGACCATGCCACACAATGGCTCATCAAATCGTAGACTCGGAGAGGTTAATTGAAGAAACAGCATTTTCGGGCGTGATCCTACCATCGCCCGAATGGAAGACATTGGATCACATCGGCAAGAATGCTCGCATTACATATCGGGTCAGAGTGCAATGCGCCGTTACGTATTACAACACGACGTGTACGACTTTCTGTCGGCCGCGCGACGATCAGTTCGGCCACTACACCTGCGGCGTGGAGGGGCAAAAGCTTTGCCTGCCCGGCTGGCAGGGCATCAACTGCGAGGAGGCGATTTGCCGGCCCGGCTGCGACCCCACACACGGCAAATGCGACCAACCCGGCGGCTGCGAGTGAGTATCAAACGCCAGTTGGCTACTATAATTCATATTCTCTATTAAATATACTTTCATAAGCCATAAATGTGCAGACATATACATACAAACACATATGACTAAATATAAATATTTAGAGTTGAACTCTGAGCTGTTGTGTTAAAGCGTCAGTTGTGCGTATAAGAAATTGTTAATTGCCACACCGTTATAATTGCAACAAATTGTGCGTACCGCATGTGGAAAGTGGGTTAGGTGTATGTGCGACACTATTCTCGCGCTGCTGTTATGTGGCATTATACGCTATTATGCGTTTTCCGCATGCCTTTTCGCACATCTCTAAATAGCTGAAATGCTTCTATGATTGTTGGTGCTATTTGCAATTTCAAGATATGAGAAATGTCATCATGTGATTTATGCTTTTAACTCTTACCGTAACATTATTTTTATGGGAAAATAGTCGCCTTTTTAATGATATGAGTACTTGAAATAGATAGCATTGCTTTTCAGACTCAATTTCATTATTGACGCATAATTATGCTTTTTTTTTTTGTTTTTTTTTTTT